CAAATTATTTTCACAGAATATAAAACTTTTAATCAAAAAACAAAAACCAAACTTTCACAGAATGGTTTGGTTGGAAGGGACCTCAAGGATCACAAAGATCCAACCCCCCAATCACAGGCAGGGCCACCGACATCCACATTTCATAGCAGCCCAGGCTGCTCAGGGCCCCAACCAACCTGGCCTTGAACACCTCCAGGGATGGACGGGGCATCCACAGCCTCTCTGGCCAGCTGTTCCAGCACCTCACCACTCTTTCTGTACAGAACTTCCCCCTGACATCCAACCTCAATCTGTCCTCCTTCAACTTCAAACCATTTCCTCTTCATCCTGCTGTTATCTACCCTTTCACAGAGTTGTTGAGATCATTCAGTTCCAACCCCCTGCTATGTGCAGAGTCGCCAACCACCAGCCCAGGCTGTCCAGAGCCACATTCAGCCTGGCCTGAATGCCTCCAGGAATGGAGCATCCACAACCTCCTTGAATAACCTATTCCACTCTGCCTGGACTCTCAAGCTCAGGTTTGGATCACGAGCAGCACGAGGCTGCTGCACTTCTGATGGGTCAGTGTCAACCATGCAGCTCTGTGTTAATACAGCAATTAACAGAGTGGATTATCTGCAGTCTTCAGATTAGTCACAGCCACAAGGAAACGTCTGGTCACCTAATGCAAAAAGCAAGCGTGCAGAAGAATGTGTCTGCTCCTGCAGGGCAGCTGTGAGGCGTCCCTTCGTGCTCCAGCCCTCCTGCTCAGCATCGTGTGGGCTAAATTTGCTCCTGCATCATCTCCTCCCTCTTCTCTCAGCGAAGCTAATTGGTGTAATTCTTAATTGTTGATTTGATGCTCTCTCTGAAGCCGCCCAGGCAACCTTGCCAAGGAATCAGCAGAGAAGTGCTGGGGCTGGCGAGGTGCCCACCCTATTTATAGAGCTGTGCTGAGCAGAGCTCTCTGAGTTCCAGATGCTCTCACTCTGACCTCGAGCAGAGCTGCTGCCTGCGAGCTGCACAGCTCCTTGCTTGCACTTCTTCAGGGCTCCTTTGCTTCTCATCTGCTTTAAAGCCACCTGCACTCCCCGAGCAGTAAGTGCTACAAAGGCTGCGTGGTTTACTTCCATGGATTTGTAAGTATTATGGTTCCTCTCCTCACCAGGTGCCACGTGCAGCCCAGGGCTGCTGTTGCTGTGATATTTCTTGCTCCTCAGTGTGGCTTTCTGCTGTGGGTGTTGATTGCGTGCAGCTCTGTGCTCACCCCCGAGCTGAGAAATCTTCCACTGAGTTCTCCTTTTTATTGGGTCACAGCGAATGCAGGAATGGCACTGTCAGCATTTACTGTGGATCTTCAGCTGGATGCTTCAAAAGTCTTGAAGATCCCTTTATCTGAGATGCTGGATGATAAGCAGGGTGCTGCACGGTTCAGCTGTCACCGGAATGCTGACGAAGCACGCGGTGCCAGGCCTGCCTCTTTCCATGCACAGTAAACCTTGTCTTTCTGACAGCAGCTCTCAGATCAGCGAGGCTCAAACTGAGCTCTGCATCCTCTCCAGCTTCTCCTGCCCATCATTTATTCTTTGGAGTTGCTGTGAGCAGCATCTCTGGCCAGCCAGGCGCTCAGAGCCATTAAATAAGTGTTTCACCCTCAGCTCTGATAGATGCTGAGCCTCACACCAGGCTTGGTGGGCACTCAGTGTGAGCAGGGTACGTTGTTTTCCACGTTGTTTTCCCATCTGTGTATGTGCAGAGCTTCACTTTCAAAGCTGTTCTTACTCTGTTCCCCCCAGCTTCTCTCCTCACCTCCTTATTGCTCAGAACTCCAGCTTTCCTCTCACCTTTGGGAGCATTTGGTGTTTCTGGTGAATTGTTCCATGAGTTTTCTGAGCAAGAATCAGAAAAATCAAAACAAAAAGTGACCCTCCTGCAAGCAACGCAGTGCTTGACTTACTGACTCTCATCTCTTTTGCAGTTGGTGTATCCTTATGACTTCAGATTAACAGAGAAAGAGGTAAGCACTCAGTTTTGTTCCTCCTCCTGTTAAAAAAACACCGCGTGGCAGCGACGGAGGTTTGAGGTTTGCTCACTCTGTGTTTTTGGTTCCTTGCAGAAGACCAGTATCTGCTACTTGTCCTTCCCTGACTCCTACTCAGGTAGGTAGCATCTGCTGGCCTTGCCTGTGGGCCCTCTGTCGCCGTTATGAGAGAAATGGGTTCGTGATGGAAGCAGTGAGTCATTGTCTGATGCAGCACGGGCACCAAGCAGCACCCAGCCCCGAGGTCTGAACACTGAGGCTTATTGTCCTTCTGATTGCTCTCTGAGTATAGATCTGTGATCCAATGGGTGGCAGGATGCCTTCCTGATATCTTGCACGCTTCACCCATGTGAATAATACAATAAAAAAGAGTCAGAAAGGGCAAATTTTGCAGCTTTTGACTGTCAGTATTTCTGTGTTTGAGTGCTCAGTGAAAAGGAGCAGATGGGGAGGGGATGCTCTTACAGCAGGCATTCCCAAAGCTTGTATTTATAAACCAGAGGGGATGCAGTAGTTGTGTTTATTCATACGAATACTCATGTCTTTCAGACTGGCTCCTGAATGCTGTTTGCCCAGCTTAGTTCTGATGGTTTTGGATGTCCTTTCACAGGTTTCTGACAGGTTGATGAAAGCCAATTATTTTCTAGCAGGAATGTCTTTATAACAGACACAGCAATCTTTGCAGTTCTGTAGTTGGGAGGAATTATGCCCCTTAGCCCTCTGTAGCAGCTCGGTCTGCTTTGCCTTGGGTTTTGTTCAGAGAGCTCTGGTGTGTTTGATTCCTTCCTCATAACTAATCTCTTTCTAAGTGCTTGACCTCAGCTCTCCCACCCATCCTATCCACTCCCAAGCTTTCACACCCTTTCTTTTTTTTGTTGTTTTAGTTCTTGGTGAGCAATGCTGTATAACCTGGGAGGTTCCCAGCTGCAGTGTTCGTATTGCTCATTTGCTAGAGCCATTGTGCAAGGGGTTGCTGCTCAATCAGCATTTGTGTGCTCCCGAATTAAGGCTGCTCGAAGGTTTTTCAGTGTAAGATGAGAAATGGTGGCTGCAGCTACTGGATGGCTGTAAGCTTCCCAGCAGTGACTTGGTGAGGTGTCACTTAGTGATGCTGCTTATTGCGTTCAGCTACGAGTTCTTCCTGTCTTGTGCTTTTGATTGGGGTTATTCCCTGCTTTCTCCTTGCTGAAACTTCTCACTGAACATCTGTGATCTTCTCTGTCCAGGTGGCCTGGGGGACACTCAGTTCAGCTTCCGCCTGCGCCAGTCTGGGGGGCAGAGGACCACTCACTACGAGGATGATGGCGAGTACAACAGAGAAGCACCCCTCACACTGCAGGTCAGTTGTGTTTTGGTGCTCTGTGTACCCCTACAAAGCAAGCAGCAGTGCTTTTGGGTATAAAATCCAAATATGCCCTCGGTTGGTTCAGAATTACTCATTTTCTTTGGTTGTTTTCCCTTAAAGAGTCAGAAAAGAAGAAAGCATTCAGCGCAGGGATTCCTCCTGCAGTAATATGAGTGCAGGGCCATGCTGACAGCTGCGGCTGCACCAAGAGGTGCAGCTGAAGCAGGAGGAGTCCAGGTTAAATCACAGAATGGCCTGGGTTGAAGGAGACCTCAAGGATCATGAAAGCTCCGACCTCCCCACCACAGGCAGGGCCACCAACCTCCACATTTCACAGCAGCCCAGGATGCCCAGGGCCCCATCCAACCTGGCCTTGAACACCTCCAGGGATTGGTGGGGCACCCACAGCCTCTCTGGGCAGCTGTTCCAGCACCTCACCACTCTCATAGTAAAGCAATGGCTCTGTCTGGGCAAAGAGCAGGGAGAAATGGTGGGACCCAGGTGACATCCAGCAGGCTGCACGGCTGCCTGGGTGCGTTACTGTGAGGCAAAACAAGAACATCCTTGTCTGTGGAGAGTGAGATGTTTACCTGCTTGCTTGAGGGAGAGCAGTTGTTTGCATATGGAAACAGGCATGTTCCACATCTGTGCTTTGTCTTGCAGCATGCTGGCTGCTTTGGCCATACCCAAGCACTGATACCAATCCCTGAGCTGTGTGTTGTCCAGCTGCAAGCTCTCTGCCCATTCCACGCAGAAGGAGGGATGCATTCAGCACTGTTGCTTCCTTTGCTGAAGCAGATGGCCTTCAGATCAGCTCATTCCTCTTCTTTCTCCTTTCTGTCACAGGAGCTGATGCTTTCTGTGCTCACACCTCAACGCTTCTGCATCCATTTGTGGTGTACAATAAGAAATGGGTTGTGGGTCTCAGGAGGAGTAGGAGGCTTTCTTTGCCAAAATTCTGCCTTAGAGATACTTTTTTTCAAGTTGTGTATATCCTTATTGCTTTGTAGTACCAGGATGAGAGATACTGTCTTTAAAGCAGTAAAGAAAGATTGCCAACGTAGTGGATTCTATTGTTAAAAAGTAACACTTGAAAGACAACGAAGCCTTGAACCGTGGTGCCAGCGGTGCCTCCAAATGCAACCTGAAGGATGATCTTTGTGTTTGGCACTGTTAGCTCTCCTTCCTTCTTGCTGTCCGTGGGAACCCCACAGGCAAAGAGTGCTTGAAATGAGGGAGCTTGTGGATGGCAGTGTTTGGGCTCTCCATAACAGCACTGTTTCTCTTGCAGAGGGAGTCGGCGCATTACTTTGGTTACGTATACTTCAGGCAAGTCAAGGACAGCTCGATGAAGAGAGGTTATTTTCAGAAGGTGAGTGCTGAAACCAGATAGCTTGCTGCACCCCACTGGTACGTAGCTGTCAAAAGGCACCTATCCATAGCTGTAAAATAGCACCACTTCCTACGTGACACCCACAGCGCTTCTGCAGGAAGCAGCAAAGGTCGTGGAGAAGAGGAATATGTGGAAAGTGTAATTCCAAACAAACCTGGATGTGGTTGCCATGGTGTGTTAATCACATGAGTGGTGACCTGCTGTCTGAATCACGAGATCCTGAAGTACTGGAATAGTTCCTTCAGTATGTGCTCTAGTGTTACAGACACAGAGGGGACATACTCAGCTAGTGCTGTCTGTGATATTAAACCCCAACCCTGCTCTTATTAATCTTTCTCCTCCCTAGCAGCCATCTGGGAATGGGTTGCTGCTGTGCTGACTGCTTCTTGCTGGTGGCAGTGATGCTGCTGTTACCTCACAAACCTCATCTCTCAGCGTAAACTCCTTTAACACAGACCATGGGAAAAAAAAAAAAGAATTTAAACCTTTATTTCAGTATAGGTATGCAGCGTGCTTAGAATTATTCAGGCAGATGGGTATAGTAACTGCACAAGAGAGTGGGATTTCAGATTCTCCCCAGAGAAAATACTTTATTTTATTTCCCCCAGGGAAAATACTTTGATCTGAAGATCCACTGTTTCCTCTGTGGATCCATAGAAATACTCTTTCAGGAGTGATCTTTCACCTCAGAAAAGATGGACTTTGAGCACCTGCAGTGGGGACTCCATCTGTCCCTTTCTCTGTGCTTTCTGTAGGCAGTGACTTGAAGTTTCTTTCAAAGAAACACTTCAATATAGAAATCAGATTCTTTATCTGTAGTAAAGCAGTGGATGGATTGCTTTAAAAGTTGTTGAACTGGGGAAGCTTCATAACGTGGGCTAATGCACTTGGTCTCTTACAGGCTTTCAGAAGTAGAGGGCACGTAGAATTCCTCAGTGAAACTTGCTGTCATGTTTGGATGGCTTGCTTGATTTTGAGTGGCAAAACTCTGGCTCAGAAATAAGGTGTTTGCATGAGTACTGCTGAAATACTCATTGCATCCCAAACACTGCATTCTGTAATGATCAGAGGTGGAGAATAATCAGTGTAGTGATGAAGGAACCCAGTGGGACTGAATTGGAAAAGATGCTTATGAAAAAGAAAAAACCCACGTGAAATACACATGTATTTCAAAAAAAGCAATAAAAGCCACTGCAACAACAACCAAAAAATCACTGCTAGAAACACATCATCACATTATTCTGCAACAGCCTCATGTTGCACCGAGGTGGTTTAGATTGGAAATCAGGCAAAATTTCAGGGCAGTCAACTCTTTGAAAGGGTGGATAATAGCAGGATGAGGGAAAGTGGTTTGAAGTTGAAGGAAGAAAGATTTAAGTTGGATATCTGGACTTGCACTGTCAGGTGGATGGTTGGATTTGATCTTACAGGTCTTTTCCAATACAAATGATTCTGTGATTCTTCCTCCCCAGCATTCCTTTATTTTGTTTGTCTGCCTAATTTCAGTTTTGACCGTCTGCTTCTTGCACTGTTCTCTCTACTCTGGTTATTTTGGTAGCTTTGAACCTATTGGCAATTTATTTTCTCCTACAGTTGATTTTTTTTGCTAGGTCACAAACCTGTGCCATCTCACTTGCAGCGGCTCCCTTCTAGAAGCTGTCAGCTGTGCTTATTTATGAAGAAACTCCTTGAAGACTCAGCTGGGAGGAATTCTACCAGGGATAGAGCTGCTTTTGAGCACCTTCATGTTGTTGATGTTGGTTTTCAAGCAGAGCCCTCTAGGAAGCAGCACAGGCATATACTGTGCCAGAAATGGCCACAGCACAGTGGCTCTGACTCCTAATGCCCCTTTTTTTCCTCCAGTCTCTGGTGCTGGTGTCACGCCTTCCATATGTGAACTTGTTCCAGTCGTTGCTGCAGCTGATTGCTCCGGAATACTTTGATAAATTGGAGCCATGCCTGGAGGCAGGTGAGCCATCAAATTGAGGGAGAACAGTTTGCATATTGAAATCTTTCGGCGGTATTATCAGGAGGTTTCTGAAAGACAGCTGAAATGCTCCAAATTAATTCGTTCCGAAACAAATTCCAACAGGGAAAAGACTTTGATCCAAGTGCCTGGCTTGTCAAAATGATAAACAGCTGTAAAAGATGCATTAATGGGAAGTGTCTGACAATCCTAATAGATGATGCTGTCAGTTGTGCATACAATGTATTCCCAAAGAGGGGGGAAACATTTGCTAATGTGATGTCTCTGTTTAGGCCTTCGTTGCACTGTTCAACTTAATCATGTTTTGCTGTCAGTGCAGTGCTGCTGGCTCTGCAGTGGGAGCAGTGCTGCAGGCATAAATCTAGCATCTGACCTAAACCTGAGCAGTTATTTGATGTAGGGTTGGTTTGCAGCTAGCCATGGGGACACGTGAAGCAGGAGTGAGCAATAATGAATGGGCAGAACTCGCAGAGCCAGCTGAATTAGCTGCACTGGCTTTCTGTTTAAACCATTCTCTTTGTCTGCATCCCTGCAGTGTGCAATGAGATCGACCAGTGGCCACCTCCAGTGCCAGGACAGACACTGAACCTCCCAGTGATGGGGATTGTCATTCAGGTACGTGCTGCTGATACTCAGCAGCAGACTGGGCTAAATTGAGAAGGGTAACGAGTGCTTCCTTTCCTCCTGGATGTTGACTTTGCTGTTGGCTCTAAATTCTTTTCTTTACTCATAACCACAGTGCAATTAGAACTGGAAATTGAGAAAGCTTTCCATGAGGGTGGTTATTAGGGAAGAAAATACATTGTGTGTGCATGCTCGTTCCATCTCCCTGATTAATTTGTCTGTTCTTAATTAGGTGAGAATCCCATCCAGGGTGGATAAACCAGGATCAAGCCCAGTGAAGCAGTTCAATCAAGAGGTAAGATGAAGTGTGGCATGACACAAGTCACTGATGGGCAGAATAAGGACTGTTGGGAAAGGAGGTGTAGAACTGCAACTCTTTGAGCCTTGTCCCATTTGAAACCACTTTGGTGTGGGATGAGTTCAGTCTGAGTAACTCATTTGGAGCAAACTGCGTGGTCTCATGTCCGTGTCTTTCAAAACAGGACTCTGCACAGTGCTTCAAGTTATGCATAAGCATTGTTTCCACAGCTTTTGTTCACTTTCTTTCCTGGGAATGAGTGCATGGGTAGGTCTTTGTAGAACTCTGATGTAGTCTTCTGTGCTGTTTTCATAGTGCTTGCAGCTTGAACATCTTTACTGCTTTGGTTCAGCTTTGATTTTGATTCCTGTTCATCTTATCATTTTTTCTTCCTCTCTCCTTTGAATAATGTTATTGTCTGTCTATTACACAGTTCTGAACTTTTGGTAGCCGTATTTCCAACACTTATTGCCTATGCCTGTATCTGTGTCTGTATCTATGCTCTGCCTTCAGCCAGGGGAAGCTCCAGAAAGTAAAGGAGTAGTTATGGAGGGGGCCCTTGTAAAGAAGGGATTCTCAGTTCTCATCTAAGAAAGGAAATTCATTTGAACCTCGAACGCCCAATCTAGGTCTATTCCTGGCTCATATCTCCAAACACTGATATCATTCTTTTATTTTTGGGCTTATTGTGGAAGGAGCTGTTTTGATGCATCAGTTTAGATGACATTTTAGTCTTCCATTTAACAACAAAATCAGATTTGTTTGTTTTTTTTCCTTTTTCATTTTAGAATCTCTTACCAGCCCCACTGGTTCTCCCAAGTATTCATGAACTGGATCTCTTCAGGTAAGAGCCACTGTCCCTGCAGCCCTGTCCTCTCCATCTGCTTTGTGTCCTTCCTGCTTAGAGCATCCTGTACATCATAGGGATGGAGGGAGGGTCTCTATCACATCCGCTGGTGCTCTTGTTAGAGGAGAATTTATTTTCTTGATCTCAGCTGTTGATCAGATTAAGCTCTGAAGCACGTACCCTGTGCATCCAAGCCAAATCTTTCAACACTGTAGGTACTATCCTAATAGATACTTACATATATGTAAGCCCCATGCATTTTATTTTGCTTAGATGAAAAGGCATACTGAAATCAATTGCTTTACATGGCTCAAAGCATTTCCTGTACACCCATATAAGGTGGTTGAGCTGTAGCTCGTGTAAAGATGTATGACGTTCTGTTGTGGGATACAAGAAATCAGTCCTAGTTTTCAAATGCCCAGGGGCACATCTGGTTAGGTGATAATAGTGTCTGGTCTTTTCTGAACTGTCTCTCTAAATTCCACTTCTCATTCTTCCTTCCATTAACAGGTGTTTCCAGCCAGTGCTAATTCACGTCCAGATGTTATGGGAGCTGATGCTACTGGGAGAGCCCATTGTTGTGATGGCACCATCCCCTACAGTTTCTTCTGAAATGGTTCTGGCTCTCACCAGGTAACACCCTCATTTTGAGATGCAGATAATGTTGGTAACAATATCTGTAAGTTTTTCAGATACGCTTTTCTGGGAGGTCAGTTGCATTAGATTAAGTTTGCCTGTGAAAGTATGTAAGAGAGGAATTAGCACAGCAAGACAGTCTTGTTCATGTTCCACCAACAGCAGAGAAGAGTGAAAGTGAGTCCCTGCTGTTGGGATTGCTGATGGATCACAGCCCTGAGGAGCTTTCTCTCCCCAGCTTTGAACTCTAGCAAAAAAAACCTAAAACATCTGAGCACTCCTCCAAAGTGTTACCTCTGGCAGGACCAAACACTGCTCTTGGATATGAACCTGTTGTAAGCACACATTCCTCATTTATGAAGCTTCGATGGCAACTATTCTGTCTGTTGTTACAGCTGCCTTGCTCCCCTGAGGTACTGCTGCGACTACCGTCCCTACTTCACTATCCATGACAGTGAATTTAAAGAATATACCACCAGGACACAAGCTCCGTAAGTAGCTGACAGACCCATGTTGCCCACTTGCAGCTGTGTGCAAGGAGGAAACCCTGAGGATAACGTTGTTCTATGCTCTTTCCCTTCTTACCAGGCCAAACATTGTTGTGGGAGTCACGAACCCTTTCTTTATCAAAACACTCCAGCACTGGCCACACATCCTTCGGGTTGGGGAGCTCAAAATGTCAGGTAAGGGTGGAACCATGTCCTGTTGTGCTGCTGTGCCTTGTTGGGGCTGGCAGGGAGTTGTAGCCATCATTTTACACATCTGTATTCTTGTGAGAGCTGGGAAACCAAAGGGAAGGCTGGACTGAGGCAGCTGATGTGCAAGGTGAGCATGAACTTGGTGAGAATGAGTGGTTGAGAGGAAAACTTGCTGGGTTTTTCTTCTGAAGCATGAAGAAATGAGAGTAGCTGGGTCAGGAAGAGAAAATTCCATAGACAAGAAAAGTGAGGTAGAAAGAGAGACTCTATGAAATGCAACAAACTGCTGCATTCCGGGCTGAGAAGTGACAGTATTGGTTGTGTGGCTGCTTTGCAGTGCCTCCTGAACTCTTTCCCAGTCCAAACTTTCAGCATGAAAGTTGGCACACGAGAAGGCTTATGGGAGGACAGAGCTAGGAGAGGATGTGGGTTGTGATATATAAGCTTAGCACAGACATTCTCAAATGTGCAATCTCTTGTACGTGCTGTGGCTGTGAGAGGAGATCAGAACCTGAACGAGTTCTTTCCTGTCCCTCCCCAGGTGACCTGCCCAAGCAAGTCAAGGTGAAGAAGTTAACTAAACTAAAAACTCTAGACACAAAACCAGGTATGTCCTGTGGTGGTTTAATTCTATCTACCCTTCCAGGCAGGGGATTTTAGTGGCTTTGCAGACATGAGCATCACACGCATTTGGTATCACAATAAGTGGACATGTTGGTGTCCTCGTGCTCCATCTGCTACGTGGCCCTCTGTAAGAGCGTCCCCCAGCTAATAAAGAAAAGCTGTACATCTTTGTTCTGAGATCGAAAAAGACAATTTACATTAATTGAGGCTAATTATTTTGGTGTTGGGGAACCGACTCTAATTTTCTTGCTTTCATGTATCGTGTCCGCTTTTAAGATGCGGTGGAACTCAAAGGAACTTGCTTAGCTGGATGCAGCTCTTGTCAGTTCACTTGCTGCTCATGTCAGGCCTGGCCATGAGCCCACCTCAGTGAGTTACCTCACCATAAACACAGGATAAGAAGGTCCTTGAGGTAATGCAGTGTCCTTTGATGCTGCTGTGAGCACTGGCTGCATTAGCAATGTTGTAATTTTTGTAATGAGTTTTATATGATGTTTATAATCAACCCTCTGACACACACAGACAGTGCTAGAGACTTCAGCTCCCTGCACCACGTAATGGTGCCTCATCTAGATTTGTGGGCAAGAGTTTGTTTCTAACATCACTTTCTTTTCCAACCTAGGAATCTACACTTCTTACAAAACGTTTCTTCACAAAGACAAAACTCTGATAAAAAGATTGTTAAAGGTGAGCAGCTCCAGCCCTGCTCCACATCATGCGTGAGGTTGTGGGAAAACTCTGCTGGCAGCTTGGCTTAGCAGACAGAACTCCACAAGCAACAGATTTATCTTTAGCTTGACTTAAGTGCGTAATGATTTAGTCAAGTGCACTTGAATGCGTTTCTCAGGCCAGCTTTAAAGTTCTTCACTTGCTACCATAGATTAAATGCTGGCAGAGATGATAAGCTGAGTGAGGACAATCCTTACTGAACAAAAGAGTAATAAGAGTGAATAAAAGAGTCCGAAGAAACAGATTCTATGTAATGAACAGTGAGTGTTGTCTTGAACCAGGGAGCAGAATATGTTTTCTGGGCAGTGCACTTTCCAAAATGCTCAGGACTGGTTGCTTTTAGCTGCAGAGTTTGCAGATCCTGTGTCTATCTGCATACCAGAGAATAGCATCTTTGTGAACACCCTGCTTGTGCTCGCAGGGCATCCAGCGGAAACGCCCATCTGAAGTCCAGAGCGCCCTTTTGAGGAGGCACCTCCTGGAGCTCACCCAGAGCTTCATTATTCCCCTGGTGAGTTGGGCAGGGACTTGTCAGGGCGGTGTGAAAGCAAAGGGAGGGAGTGGGATGCTTGCTGAAGTGACAAGTTGGCACTTGCTCTCTTTGATTCGCCTGTATTTGAGCATCTGTATTGGGTTCAGGATGTGGCACCGTGGAGATGTGTTGCTCCATAGAAAGGAGCTAAATGTCTCTTGATTGAGAATTTCGGTAATTAGCATGAAAGTCTGCAGGTTGAGTACGTGGAGCATTGCACGTGAAGGCAGAATGTTTGTTGCTGCAGTGCAGAAATAGTTACCCCCCGTGATTTGATTCTAATGCCAAATCTTTGCTCTTTTCCCCAGGTAGTCAAAGCAGATAAATAGTGATGAAGAGACGTGAGCCCCAAACCTTCCTCTTCCTCTTAGTGCTAGAGTCAAACCTATGCCTGTATGAAGATGTCCCCGCTGAGCAGCTCAGGAGTTTGTCCACGTGGTTCCCCTGAGGCAGACTGCTGTAACCAGTGCTTGCTTTCAGGGCCTTCCTGATCTGGTTTCCTTAGAGAGCCTCTAGTCCTTTATTGGTGACCATCCAGTTGCACATGTCTGGTTCCTTCACTTTCTCTTCTACATCATCTTAAGGTGTAGTAAATGAGACAACAGACCACCTCCTGGGATTTTAGGGCTTCCTGCCACCTTCTGCCCATGGCAGGAAAGGTGGAACTAGCTGATGCTTGAGATCCCTTCCAACCCAAGCCGTGGTTCTTCCCACCTGACCTTTTCTTGTGTCCTGTGTAGGATTCTTGCAGCGTGTGGTTTGGTGACCTGGTGGGAAGCAGGCTGGGGTGCTTAGGCTCACGTAAAATGCAGCTATAAAGGAAAAGGGGAGAGTAGGAGGTCAGGGATTGTGGTGAATTGGAGAAGCCCATAACGCTCAGTGAGCGTGCAAGAGGCTCCTTGACTGTTGTAACATCTTCCTGTTCGTTTGTTTGTTTGTTTTTAGGAGCACTATATTGCAAGTCTGATGCCTCTGCAGAGGGCCATTACTCCATGGAAAGTAAGTTCAACCTTCAGTCTCTTCTGCTTTCTTTTGACTGGGTATGATTCTGCCATATGCTGATTGTGCGTTCTGATACACTGCGTGAACTTCCCTCGTTAAAGGAAGAGGGTTATTACACTTTCAAAAAAAAAAAAAAAAGTTGAAACAAACATGAGGGCAGATGCTTCCTGTTTTGCAGTAAGCTCAGCTATTGTGAACCTAATTTGAATTTTGCTAGCAAGGCTGGTTAAGATGTTAATGTCTCTTTAGTTTTGAATTGGCCTTGCGCAGCCCCCTGTATTGCAGATACAGACCTTGATTTCTCCTGATTTCTCCTGGGTGTGTGTAATGTGGTCCTTCCATTGCACAGAATCCCCCACAGATTCGTCCTTTCCGACAAGATGATTTCATGAAGACCCTGGAGCACGCTGGTCCCCAACTTACCTGTGTCCTTAAGGGTGACTGGTTGGGTCTCTACAGGTATGAATTCATTCATTGCATACAAGATCTCCTTAACAGCTGGTGCAGTTTATAATGAACATCAAATAGTGAATTAGAATTGAGAACAAAAAGGGGATTTCAGGACAGAGGCCCGTCACAAGAAAAACTCATTCCTATGAAGAGCTGGTTGGTGTTGGTCAAGAAGATCAGAACAGAGAGTCAAATCGTAGAATTATAGAATGGCCTGGGTTGAAAGGACTTCAAAGATCACCTAGTTTTAACCCCCCTGCCATGGGGAGGGTTGCCAGCCACCAGACCTGGCTGCCCAGAGCTACATCCAGCCTGGAAATCAATAATGTCTTTCTTGTAATCTCTGAAATGAGGAGCTCCAGTTGGGTTTAGGACCTGCAAACCTCCTGAAGGTGGAGAACTGAAGAACACCTGGGTCCTCACTGATGGGGAACAAGGGGTCTTGGCTTTTGCAGTCAGCTGTGTTGTTCACACTTCCAGAGAATGTCTCTTTTTTAAGTGCCTGGTTCTTGGCAGGTAGAGCAGGAAGATGTGTAGGCTTTCATCCTGCAGTGGTTGTACACTTTGGTACAGCATTCAATACTGCTTTGTTTATAGTGCAAACCAGCAAGGCAGTTTGGACATAAAAGATGATTTGTTTAGGGTAGAATTTAGGATACTGTATGGGAAAGTGTGCCCGTAGCTTTCATAAAGGAGAACTGGTTTTGTTCTGAAGTTCTCTAATGCTCTGAGATGAAGGGAGGAGTAATGCTGCCATCTGCTTCTCTGTGTAGCCCAGTGAAAACCTGTTTATTGCTGCACCATGCTGGAGAGGCAGGAATTGCACATCTTTTGTCATCGCCTGGGTGATATTTTGCTTATGTGGGAGAGATGCAAAGACCAATTATTTGGGGTTCGGGTCAGTGCCAGCAAGTGTCTGATAGCTTTCAATGTCAGGAAAGAAGGGGAATTAAGCGAGACACTGCAGAGGAATGTGGATTTCTTCCTGTGGTTGGACCATTCTAGTCATCCACCAAAAAAGTGGCTGTAGATAAATAAGAAGGGTGAAGGGCAGTGCTTATTGAATCAGCTCAGACTTGACCTGATGCAAAGGAAGGTGGGACCATCCCTCTGTTGGTCACAATCTGCTGAGGCTGCCAGCTTGCATCGTGCTAATGGCTGATGGAAGAGGAGATGTGAAAAGAGCTTATTAGCTCATAAGCAGTTGACACCAAATCAAAATGCCTGCATCTGCTGCATGGGAAGGGAAATGTGGAGCCAGTGTGTACTTCTTGGGATCCCTCCTGTCCCCTTCTCACTGTCACCTTGCTTTCTGCAGGCGTTTCTTCAGGTCTCCCAACTTTGATGGCTGGTACCGTCAGAGGCACAAGGAAATGACCCAGAAGCTGGAAGCCCTTCACTTGGAGGCCATTTGTGAAGCGGTACGTTCCAGCTGCAGGTATTCAAACCAGGGCTGAAATTCTCAGGCCTGACACCTGGAAGATGAGAACACTCCTTGGATGTTCACTGATGCCTCTTGGTTCTCTGGCAGAGTGGGGACAGTGCCTCGTGCCCAAGGGAAGCACAGGGCTGCCTCTTGCCTGGGTGCAGAGGTGTCCTTGTTCCCCACAAGTGCTGTTGTTCAAGCAGCCTCACTTGCTTAGCCAGTGCAAACCCACTCTGGCTGCTCCTGTCAACTATTTCTCATTCATCAGGCCCTTCCCAAGCCAACAGAGTCCCAGACTGGAAACGTCATCTGTTGCTGGCTCCCTTAAATGCCTATTGAAAATAGGTAGGAATTTTAGCAGTGATCGCTGGTGCAATTTCTAAAACTGAGCTGCTGCAGGGATCACCCCAGGAGCTCTGGCATCCCTCCCAGCTGCAATGCTTGCTTCACTGGTTAGCTGTGCAGGTCCTCGAACGTGGTGTGGGAATGCCAAAGCTGTCTCCTTTCTTAACAGGCCTGACTCTGGCAAATAGATGTAAGTTCTGAGCACAGCACGAGATGCAGAGTGCTGACTGGAGGAGGGGAACCCTGCACCATCTGCGTATTGCTGCATCTTTCCTTGATTCTTCTCTTGCAGGCAAGAGCTTGATGCTGTCGTGGGCAGAAAAGTGGGGAGAGCTCTGTCTTGCTCATTTAGGCTTAAGTGCTGTGAGCAGAGTTATGAAAGAGGATGAGAAACCTCCTCCTCGCTTTTATTTCAGGCTTTGCTTAGGGGTGTCTCTGAGAAAAGTTTCTGTAAAGAAGAAATGACTCTGAAGGAAACTGTTCTTCTCTTTCTGTAGAACATCGTGGCATGGATGAAGGACAAGTCAGAGGTGGAGATTGTAGACCTGGTGCTAAAACTCCGTGAGAAGCTGGTAGGTTTTCCTCCCCTCTTCCTGTATTCACTCCTTCCTGTATCACTCTGGCAGGGAGTGACCAAGGGGTGTGGATTGCAGCTGATGCTTACAAAGCTTTGTTCTTCCTCCCTCATCTGGAGGACTGGCAAATGGGACAGTGGTGAATCCTTAGAGGTTGCCTATGAGAGAATTCAAAGTTCTGTCTTGTTCTGTCAGCCTGAGTCAGGCAGTTTCCATCTGTTTTCCCTTAGCCCCACTGCAGAGACGTTGTGAGGTTTGCTCAGCCAACACCAAAGCAGAAAGAGGACACAAAGCTGTTTCAGGTCTCCTCATTTCCTCTTTTCTCTCTCCCTGCAGGTAAGAGCCAGGTGCCAGCACCTCCCTGTAAAGGAGGAGACCCTGCGGCGTGTGGGCCTTTACATTGAGACCATCATTGACTCCTTGCCTGAGGATCTGCAGGCAGTGCTGCACCACCACTGAGTGCACTGAGGGGCTGTTGCAGAAGGAAGGGCCCTCTCATGCTGAGAGCAGCAGCTGTGGTCACGTTTGGAAAGGAAACTTCTTCCCTAATCCAGCCTCCACGGCCTCGTCAGGACCTTCCTCAGGAGCCTGTTTGTTTTCTGAGCTCACAGATCAGAACTGGAGCAGAAATGGGAAACCACGTGCGCTGTTCTGTCTCGTCCTGCTGCAAGGAGCTGGATTTAGGGGCCCGTAAATGAAAAACAGTTTCCTTTGTGGCTGTTAGTAGGTCAGAAAGCGGCAGCCAGGCTTTCAGCAGCATGTGATAGGCTGTGCAAAACATGTTTTGCCCATATATACACATATCCATCTTTGTCTAGTGCTTGGGCTCTCAAAATTTCAATGCCGTCATCCTGCCTGGAAGAAGTGGGATCAGCACTGTATGGGGGAGTTGTTTTCAGGACAGATCCTACTGGTAATGAGAGGGATGCTAGTTCTCCACATAGAAACGACGTGGAAAAGAATTGTTGCTGCCCATTCAGCAGCCTGACTCATAGCAGCGAGAGCTTCAGCTGTGATGGGAGTAGGAGGCTGAATTGCTGGACATGGAACGCTGTTTTTTCTTCAAGGCAAAGAGAGAGAGAGAGAAAAAGGGGCTGGTGCATCTGCAAGGAGCAGAGCTCTCCGGAGAGGGCAGATGTGCACTGTTATGAATGGCATCAGCTAACACAGCTCTGCAGAGAGAAGCTGGTCTCCAACTGGAATTTATACTGCTTGGAAAAAATCGAGTATGTGCACTCTGGAAACATGTAGAATTGGAGCTCTGCCTTGGGCAGCAAGGTATGTCTAACATGGTCAGCCTACTTGCTGATAAAACACAGTGTAGGATCTGATTCAGGCAGTCTCACCATTGCTGCTACTGCATTCCACATCTGCCACTTTGACCAGCGCCCTGGTGTGCCTGCAGAATGTTTTTCAGAATGGGCTGGGCAGCCTGATGCACTCCTTTCCACCCAGGAGCAGAGGTGAGCTCTCAGACCGTGCAGAGCTGCTGCAGCTCTCTGTTGGCAGTGCTGAGCACTTGGGTGGAGCGAGCTGCCGCCTTCTTCAGCCTCAGCCCACAGAGTTGGGGCAATGTCAGTAAGTAGTGGAGGTGATGGAATCCTTCCTGAGTTCTCCCACTCCAGAGCACGGCTGGGACAGCACAGAGGGGCAGTGGGGCTGCAATTCCTGCTGCCTGGAAGGAGCAAAGTGAGGAGCTTCGTACTGCCCCGTAGCAATGCATTTGTGCCACGCTCCTTAGCAGCAGCCCTCCCTGTACAGTGTATATTGTGTATATAGTTTGTGCGTGTGTTGCTGCTGTGATAGCTCTGCAGTGACTGTGGTGGACTGAAGCACTAATGTATAGTAGAAAATAATAGTTTAAAAAAAAAAAAAGAATTGGGCCAAGCTGTTTCTTGGTTTTGGGGTCTGAGATGAATTTGTTTAGGAATCTGGGCAGAGATGCTGAGTTCATGCATGGAGCTCACTGTGCTTCTGTCCCTTAAGGGGCTGTTTCTGTGGAATTGCCCCAGGTGGAAGCAGCACAGCTCTCATCTCCTGTGTGTGTCACCGTGTCCTGCACGCAGACCTTCACCTACAAAGCTCCAGGTGTGTGAATGGCAATAACTATTGCAGCTCCAAATGGAATTTATTCTGCTCATTAATCTGGGCAGTGCGTGAGCATGCACCCTGTGGCACTCAGCAGCCCCAGCTCCTCATCCTGCCCTGCAGAAGTACAAATATCCTCGTGTTCACAAGTGTTATTCCCCTCAACACTGTGTTTTCAGCTTTGTGCTCCTCCCAAGGAGGTCAGTTATCACACTTCTTGCAACCAGCTGCCCACAGTTACCGTCTTCACTTTCCTAAAAGCTTCTGTGTGCCATTGCCTCATGCCCTGCCCTGGCTGGAGGTCCAGATTTGCACACCAGCTTTCAGAGAATCTTATAGGATCCCTGTCCCCATCCTCCCCAGCACTGTATCTCCATGGCAGTGCTGGTATGGCGTGTTAAATGACTCAATCCTTGCTCATTCCTGGTGGTGGGGGAGTCCCAGTGGCCACCAAACAGGTGACACTGCTGTGGGCTGGGTGTCCTCCCAGCTCAAGCTGCCCAGGGCCCCATCTGTGGCCTCAGGCACCTCCAGGGGTGGGGCAGCAGTGCCAGGGCTGCACTGCCTCTGGATGAAGGATTACCCCCCCCATCTAACTTCAGTCTCCTCTCTTAACTTACAGCCATTTCCCCCCTCCTTATTCCAGCACCCTGCTCACCACTCAAACCATGGGTTCCCAAGCAGCAGCCAAGTTAGGCATACAATACGTACATATTCAAATTTATTTTGGAGGGCGATGGCTGAATAAAGAGGGAAAAGAGGGAGAAATGTGTAGGAAGGGCTGAGAGATGGAGGGGAGTCAGGAGGGGGGTTGTGAGAGAGCAGAGGGAGGGACTGTGCTGTGAGAGCTTCAAGGAGCTGACAGCAGCATGAGGACCCTCCTCTGGCAGCTCCTGTGCTGCAGGGCTGCCCCTTTCCCTGTTGGGTGAGGAAGCACTGCCTGAGCTGTCCCTTCTGCTGCTCCCACGGACTCTTCCCACAGTGCCTGTCCACGCCTAACACACAGACCTGGCTTTGCCCTCACAAGCTGGTGTAAAATACATGTGCAGATGTCTTCCCCAAGTCAGGGCTGAGCAGCATGGAGCTCCAGGCTCGCAATGAATTGATGCAATAACCTCAAGGTCTATCAGCAGTGCTTATTGCACTCAGTGGTGAGACCAGGGTGCACGCTGTTCCCTGAGCCGCCACCTTCTGCCCCTCACCTCTGCTTCTTCCACCTCCATGGGACCATGACTTGCTCCCACAGCACTGCAGAAATCCTACAGGTGAGCAAAACTCCCAAAGTTGGCTCATAAATGTCAGCTGAGCAGTCGGTGCTGACTTCAGCCTTCCCCCATCTCTGCAGGGTCCAGCAGCCGAGGTCTCTGCCCTAAGAGAACCAGAGGGGAAGCACTGCTTGCTCTGGTGCAGCTACAGGGCTCAGAGCATCCTCCCTGGGAAACACAGGGAAGCAGGGAGGGAGTTCCTGGTCTGTCCAAGAGAGTCCCAACTTGATTATTCTTTAAAAATAATCAAGTTCCAGCTCAGAGCAGGAGAATGATGTGATCCTACCAGAGGGGTTGGCACAATTCTGCTTTAAATCTGTGCTGACAGCACCAGCTCAAGCACAGCTCTGTGCTGAGAGCTCCCTGCTCTGCTGCTGCTGGAGAGGAGCTGCCCCACACGGCAGGAGAGCTCAGCAGAAAGGTGTTCCCAGACACAGGCAGTGAGGGATAACCACAACCAGCTCATCTCTTCCCCGACAGCCACCAGCTGCTGTGTGCTGACTGCTTTCTGACAGCCTGCTTTTCCTCTGGGCTGAAGTGCAGAATAGTCAATATGGCAGTGAGAGTCTGCTGGCGGCCGAGGGAATCCGGCAGCGTCAAAAACCTATAGACGATGTTCTTCAGGTACTCCAGGTTGGCTCCTTCTCTACTCTTATCTCTGAAGTTCTTCTGGATTTCGTTCTGAAGTGCTGACACCTCTTCCCGATGCCTCTCCTCCTCCACCAAGACTTTCTCCTGGAGCTGGTGAACTTGCATTTCTAGCTTGTGCTTCTGCTTCCTCAGCGCTACGATTTCCACCTCTTTGCGGGCCAGCTGCTCCGCATACAGGATGAAGGTGGGCTCTGCATTGGTGGAGAGGTGGAGAGCCTGGGGGAGGATCTCTGTGGAGCCGTTAGCTGGGGGGTCACCGCTCGCAGTGTCAGTCCCCGGTGTCATGTAGTTCTTGGAGCCCTGGAGCCCGGTGTAAGGCAACATAACGGATCTCAGCTGCTCCAGTTCTTGGTCCTTCTCAGCCAACACCGCCAACGCCCGGTCCCTCTGCTTGTGCATCTCTTCTTCCAGCTTCAGTGCCCGTTCCCTGTATTCCAGCTGGCAGCGCTCCAGCTCCTGCTTGTGCAGCTGCTGCAGCTGGGAGAACTCTTGCTTCTTGGCTTCCATGTCCAGCTGGTGCTGCTTCTCCACCTCCTCGGAGGACAGCTGAAGCACCACGTATTTCTCCTTCAGGTCAGCTAGCTGCTCCTGAGCTTCCTCCAGTTCTTTGGCCAGATTGCCATCTTTGACTGACTTGTTCTTGAGAACCACTTGTGCCCTCATCTTGTACCTTTCAAACTCTTCCTTCAGCTGCTTCAGCTCCTGCTGATAGTACAAAGCTGTGGCCTTCTCGCCATCCCCGGCCTCGGTGCCCTTCGGCAGCTCCAGCTCACACAGCTTCTCAATGTCCAACGTGGGCTGACTCTTCTTTGCTGCTGCCTGCAGCAGTTTCTTCAGCTTCTCCATCTTATCCTTGAGAACGTTCACATCCAGATTGGCTTCTTCCACGTTTACATCAGCAGGGGATCGGCTGGAGGCCGCGATGGCCAGGGTTTTGTTCTCCTGGTCCAGCTGCACGATGCGGTCCTTCAGCTTTTGGATGACCATTTGGTCCTTCTGCTTGGCCTTCTCGTAAGTGCCCAGCAGCCCTGATACCTCAGAGACCTGTCCCTCCAGGTCTGCCACACGCTGCTCCTCCATCTGGGCGTGCTGCCGGAGCTGTTCCTCTGCCTGTGCAGTCTGTGAGCAAAGAGATGCAGCGGGATTAGACCACCCTAGCACAGAGCTCTGCAATTACAAAGGCCTTCATTCTGCTCTAAACAACTCCAAGCAAGCGCAAGGACACACTGTCTCCTAATTTTCCAAACAATCCCCTCCCCAACTCTCTCATGCCTGTCTTTAAAACAGAGACTCAAGGATAAAAGAAACTGAGTGCATTTCTGTATTTGTTCCCTGCTCCACAGAGCTGCTGTTAGCAGCATTATCTGCATCGCTGGAGGTGTGCACAGGGCACGAAGCAGAAAACTCACCTCACAATCTGCAGTGGGATTTTTTCAAGCGTGCGTGTGCTCTAAAGCTTTCCCACACCTAGGTGCAATCTGCCTAAACGCTACGCTCTGGTGCACCGAGATTAACGTAATTCAGTGGCTTCTGAGTAGCTGCAGCAAACACCTGGAGCTCACAGCTTCTATCACCATGGAGATCACAAGAGCAAGTGGAACGGTGGCACCACTTCTCAGTCCCCACTGTGAGCCAAAACACGGCTCATAGCTGGGATCAGCTCATCCTCAGCCCTGTCCTACAGAACCTGCTGGATATCACTTCCAAAACAAAGTCAATTGCATGCCATCACCCCAAAGCTGCTAATTAGAAGCTTCAGATTAGAAAACTTGTTCCAGACTGTGGGGAAATGAGGATCCCAAACTGGAGTACTTCCAGCTGCCAACTCAGTGATAGGCAGCAAAGCCCTCCAGCCCTCTGCCTCACAGCCTGCAGTGACACACAGCTTCCTCCTTCCCGCTGCATCCCTCCTCCCAGCAAGATGTGCAACCCAGCACCTCGCACAGCAGGCTGCCCTTTTCACCCAGCTGCCTCACTGCTTGCCAATTACAGTTCCACCCATGGGGAGGTGGAAGTTATCTCCCTTTAAGAGAGACTGAACTGTACCTTGCATTGCATTTACAGAGATGAGAGCACACTCATTGCCACAGTGGGTCGGAGCATTGGTCTCTCCTCCCAAATCCAGCTGCTGCTCAGAACCAAGTGATGCTGTCGAAGACACTCACTACGTAACTCCCACACCCAGTGATCACCACCCATTGGTTAACTGATTTATACACTGCATCACTAACAGCTTTTATTTTCCTCAGGAAATATTATCCCATCAAACGAAGATATGGTATTTTCTCCTATCTGAAATCTCTTGGACTCTGTGACATGTGGCAAAGAGGGAGAATTTGGGCTCCTCCAGCCTCAAATTCTGCTCTAGCTGCTGCCACAGTACCCCCTACTGCGGGCTGCTCTAGGGCTCAACCAAGGAATTACCTTCCTCATCTCCTGCAGCAGCTGTGCTTGGAAGTGGTTCTTAAGGCTGGCCAGCTCCTCCTGCAGGTCCTGCACCCGGGGGTCTGGCTTCTTTCTCTCCTCCTGAACAGCCTGCAGCTCTCTCTTCAGGTCCTCCACCTCCTGGCTCAGCTGCTTGATCTGCAGCTCGTAGCCCTCCGCACGGTCAGCCATGCACACCCGTCCAGCCAGCACCTCCCTGGTCTCCTCCAGCTTCAGCTCTGCGTCCTGCCTCAACGCCCTCTCACTCTGCAGCAGCTTCTGCAGCTCTCTCAGCATAACAGCGTGGTCACTCTGCTCCTGGGCTCGGTCATGCTGCTGTGTGATCAGACGGGCTTTGGTCTCAGCGAGCTGCTCCTGGACAGACCTCAGCTCCGTCTCCAACCTTTCGGTCTCATCCTCTGCTTTTTTAACAGCGTCATCCAGGTCCTGCTTCATCTTCTTCTTGTCGGCTTGGTACGAGGCTTCCATGCGGGACTTTTCCTGCGTGACCGTTGACAGAGCGCTGGTCAAGGTGGCCAGCTGGGTCTTCAGCTGAAGCACCCTCTTATCAGCCTCACTGGCAGCACAGGACACATCCCCACTGCTCGTGCTGACACCGCTCTCCGAACCATTTGTCTCTTCTGCTTTAAGAGAGGGTGCAGCTGCAGCAGGTTTATCATCCTCAGCGCCCTGCTCGCCCTTTGCACTGGCCAAGCTGGCCGTCGTGTCCGCGCTGGTCGCCGTCCCCATGCTGTCCTCGCTGTGAACCGAGCTCTTATCATCAGTGGGATCAGCAGGAGAAGAGCAGGAGGCAGCCACGCACGCAGGCTGAGCACCACTCAGGCCAACGTCAGCCTCGTGAGACGCCGACAACACCTTCAAGCTGGCTTCCAAGGCTTCCTTCTCATTGATGAGGCTCTTGTAGGCTATCACCACGTCCTTCAGCCGAGCCTGGTAATTCAGAAGCTGCTTCTTCTGCGATTCAATTGTTTCCAGAAGTTCTTTCTTACTTGGCCCACCTCCGAAGTTCATGCCAAACTTCTCCATGGCTCTATGATGGAAGCCGGGCCGCGGGGTGCCCGCAGAGCAGGAGGGGGAGCCGAGGGGCTGCGCTGTCAGGGGAGGCCGGGCCGGGGGGGCTGGCAGGCGGCAGTTTCGGGCCTTTCCTTCGGAGCGCGGCAGGCCGCAGCCTTCGGGCCGAACCACCGGGTCGGGTGCCGGCACCCAGCGCGCAGGCGCAGACCACAACTATCTACTTCCGCCTCGCTTAACTACTTCCGTTCGCCGCATAACTACTTCCGCCCGGCGTCCAATGAGCATGCGGACTTCAAGCCCCGCCCTTTAACGGAAGGGGGGGAAAACACGGGCGCTGCGCATGCGCAAAAAGAACATCTCGGGGAGAGGCTGCCAATCAGGTGTCAGAGCGGAGCAGGGCGAGCCGAGGGGCGGGGCTAAAAGCATCGGAGGGCGTGGCCGGAAGTACAAGGTGCCGCGGTAATGGGAGGAGCCCGGTGATTGGAGGCGTGGTTCGTTTTGTGGGCGTGGCTAGAGGTGTGGGCGGGGCTCGGGGAGGGGGCGGGGCCTTCGGCGCCGCGGAGCGCGGAGGTGTTGGGGTCGCAGCGCGGCCGCCCCGGCGCGGCCATCCCGGCCATCCGGTCCTCCGGTCCGTCGGTCCGTCGGTCCGTCCCGCCGCCGCAATGGGCCTCACCGTGTCTGCCATCTTCTCCCGCATCTTCGGCAAGAAACAGATGCGGATCCTGATGGGTGAGAGAGGGGGGGGGGGGGGGGGG